TAATTAGAAGATATAGATTTATATACTATTAAATTTTGGTAACAATTGAATATAATACTGAAAAGTTTTATTAATAAGATATATTTTTTTTATATATAAAATTTTATTTGCTTGAAAAATCATATGACAAATGATCTATGTCACCTCTACCCTTAAGTAAACACTGTAAGAGTATAGTAGTTTAATAGTTAATCCTGTTTACAAATATTGATTTAACCATAATAATATTTGAGTTAGCTGTAAAATGGGTATATAGTAGGTTTTGAGAGGTTTACTTTAAAGATAAATTTATTCTAAAGTTGAAATAAGAATCCAAATATGACCTTATGAATTTAATATGAGACAGGTTCAGAAGATTTAAAATAGAACACCTAAGCAGAAGTGTTAGATATAACAATTGATAAGAAACATCAAGTAAATTCCTTAAGTTACATATGTGATCAATTGTACACTCTTTTTGTACTAGTTCTTTACAGAACTACATTATTTAAAAATGTGTTAATAAAGTCAAAAGACCCAAAAATAGAATTGTTAATGGAGTAACTTACTCTAGAACACTCTGAAGTAGAACCCAACCCAAGTTGGAGTGGGTTTAAACTTTATCTTTAAATTTGAAGCAACCTGAAGCAACCTGAAGTAGCTATGGAGCAACCCAGAGTGAACTGCTAAAGTAAGTCTAATTTACTGGATTGGGTTAAGAATTAGATCAACTCAACCCAACTCATTAACAATCCTATCCAAGAGGTCACCTTAATACTAAAAAAAAAGAACCAATCTAAAAATTTTATAAACTTAATTATTTCAAAAAGTACTACATAGAATTTTATAATTTTTTATTTATTTAAAAGATATAGATTTAATAAACTTATAATTTTATTTTTAGCTTAATATTTTATTAACTAAGTTTTATAGAAATTTTTAAAAAATGTTCACAATAATATGCTACCCCCCTGTATTTTCGCGAAATAATGATCTGGGAGATTATTTTGAACCACAATTTAAGGGGAGCAAATAATTTAACGAGTATGAACAAAAATTTTATTGTTTAAAATCTTTAGCTAACTTATTCTTAACTCCTTTAAATTGCGTGCTTCGAAATAACATTCCGAAGCGTTATTCCATAAATTTAAATTTGAATAAGATGTCCAAACTACCCCCAATGAGATGGCTGGATTCGTGAATAGTATTCGATTTTAAAAATGAAGTTCTTGAATAAGACCCCGGGTACTGTAAGCAGTGGCCTACAGTATATCGGACGACCAAACTACGTATTCAATTGGCTTTATACATAAGATTAGTCACATTGTTTGGGTCATTCCGCCTGGTGAAATATAGTAAATTTTCTAAGCCGTCGGCAAGGTGACGGGCTACATACTAATTTTATTAAAATTCTCATTTTTGACGGTAGAAGCATCAAAGTTATTACTGAATATCTTTTTTAAGTCTGATTTTTTATTTCATTACTTTTAATCGGTATTTAATATGCAAATTGAATTGATATCAAAGTAAAAAATAAAATGTGTGTTTCATTAATTGATTCAATCATATCATCAGATGAATCTTGAAAACATCACTTGAATCTCTTGGGTCATTCGAAAAAGTTATTAGATTTATATTCTTGATTTTTTTTTTCCCTTGATAATTTTCTCCAGAAATAGCTTTAAAATGGTTTTGCCCCCCAAAAATCCGTATGTTTTCATATTTCTATTAAATATCCTATTCGCAATATTTTCAATAGCACAGAAACATCCTCAACAAACATCATTACCAACGAAATCGTACCCAGCTAGTATAACTACCACGTCACCACCATTAAAAAGTGAAATACCTGTTGCTTTAAAAAAAACAACCTTTTCTATTCCTATTTCACCGACTGAAACACCATCTTCGCAGTCCACACCTATATCACCGTGTCAAGTAAAAATCACAAATCCACACACTGGTGTTACACTTAGACCTGGTGATAATATAGATGTATCATGGAAATTATTCGGTAAAGAATGTTTTGTTGACGGTGTCGCACCATTACATCAGGTCAATGCCATTCTATTTTCAAATTTGACTAGAGGTGAAGAATGGAAATGGGACTACCGACAGGTCAGAATTCATTTTATTTAAGACTTATTATTATTATGTCTTTTTATATTAAAAAATACATTCTGAATTTTAATTATTTATCTTAGAATCTTTATCATGAAGCAAATACCAACATTTCTTCGTTTCATTACCCCGTGCAAATCATTCTATCTCCAAATATTCGAAATTTAAGTTTATTCTTCCTTGATATTGAATTAACGTTTCCAACGAATTCCCTAGGTATGATATGGGATGTCATGGGTCCGTTTACTATTTTACCAATTCCGGAAACTCCTCCGGAAAAAAATGTAACAGATCCTGATAATGACGTTCATGGCGAAGATATTTTTGCTAGTTGGAATAAAGATATTGATGATACTGAACAAAGTAATAACTCTAAACAAAAAAATAATAAGGAAAAAGCAGGTAAAATTAGTACTGCTAATACATTATACAATGTGATGGGATGGATATGTATCGGATTTAGTGTGTTTTTATCCGTTTTATTTATATAAATCTTTAACAATTATTGACAATATGTAACTTATGTAAAGTACATTGCAACAATCGAAATTACAACAATTTAATTATTTACGATTATACTGTAGTATCGATACCTGTAAAAATAAAAATTACCTTAACCATTTTAGAAAGAATCTTTACTGCATTTAAATGGGCACCTGTAACAGTAGTCTTCCTTTTAGAAAAATTTTCGCGCATTCGCTAAGCCACATACGACGTTCAGGCGAAAAATGCCAAGAAGTCGGTTTTATATAGATCTTTATCAAGCATAGCTCAAATGAGAATTCATATATATTTGCTAACATAACAGAGAAACAAATAATCTACATTATAAACTGTGTCATTACCTCCCGCCTTCTTTACTGGTTATACTCCTCTTTTCTCTCTTCTTCTCAAATAAACTCTTTTAATAGAACTTGTACCCAGGCCTACTGAAAATTAATTGCAATCAATTATTTCACAATTTTAATTGTTTGCAATTGTATATGCATGTGACAAAATTAATTGAAATCTAATTAATGATGAAATAATTGCAATTAAATTCAATTTTTTTAACTATACTGATATTTCATAGAGCATTGCATACAGTACCTTGATGTAATACAGTTTTAAATAGTGAACAACATAATTATATATATAAATAATACTTTAAAATTTTGATTATTGTTATATATACATCTGTTAAACTAGAAATGAATAAAGGTTTGTATTTATTTCTTAATTTGGTTGATATCTTGAATTAATTATATTTTATTATTTATTCTTAGAAACAAAAAAATTTCTAAGATATGCAGATCAAAAAACTTTTTCAAATCTATATAATAATATTTAATAATTAAAAATAATCATTCTACTGTATTAGATGTAAGAAGAATAATATTCATATTCAAGTATTTTGATTCTTTTATTTTATATTTTTTTGCAACCTGTTTTTTCATAGTTATTGATCTTTTTTCAATTATTAGTTATATGTTTTGTTTTACAATAAATGAGTTGAAGCTTTTATTTTTCAGTGAATGTTAGTACAGTTTTTTACTTGTATAAAACTTTGATTACAACTATTTTAAATAAAGAATTATGAATTATTGCATTTCAAAAAAAAACTCTTTTTATAGATTATTAAAAACAAAAAAGTAAACAAAAAATAAAAACTAAAATAATAAATTAAGGTATAAAAAAATATTATTAAAAGATAAGAAGTTGTTTTAGAGTTGTTGAATACAGATACAAGTAGTTGTGCTCAATAGGCAGAATTGTTAAGTCATTTAAAAAAATTAGAAATATGATATTGTAACTGAATATTTCAGATATGTTTAATATATATATATAAAAATGTAAGAGAATGTTAGAAAGTATAGTATAATAGAGCTTGGCTTTAAGTTTAATAAGATCAATATGCTGAGTAAATATTTTGTTGCAAGTGTTTTAATTAATAATAAGATTGTGAAGTTGATATTTAAAAGTAGAAATAATAACAGTATTAATAATATAGTAAGCTTAAGTATCAGTAATATGTTTGGTTTTTGTAATTTAAATAAGGTAAGATAATTTTAAAAAATTTGGTTTTATTTGCTTAAATTGTTTGTTGTCTAAAGTGAATTAGCAATCAAAAAATTTAAAAGATTAATTAAAAAAATACAAAAAAAAAAATAGTTGTTATAAAAAATAGAAATATAGTTAGATTGTGAGTTATTAGTAGTTAAAATAAATTTAAAATTAACTTGAATATTTGCTATAATATAAAAAAACTTAGTTATAGACAATATAGTATAAGCTCAGATTGAAATAAGACTATTTAAAGAATATTTATTTATATATACCAAAACAGAGCATCAAGTTTTTATAAAATTAAATGTTTAAGATTTAAAATTAATAATATAAGAAAATTGCAGAGTATAACTAAGTGTTTTTGAGTATATATATATATATATAATTTATAGTAGATGCATTAGAGCAAAAGAGTAATAGTTTCATTTTGATCAATTCTATTGTAAACTAGGTAAGAAAAAGTAAGACCAAGGTTGATAATAACTTGATTGTGATATTTAGTAAAAAGATCAGTAAGTATATTAATAATAAGTAAAAGTAGCAAGAGTCTTAAAAATAAATATTTGAAAAGAGTAAAGTTAATAAAGTTATATGCATCACTTATATTTTATAAAAGTAGTCAGATGTTCTTGTGATTACAATTAGTATTTTCAATAAGATTATTAAAACTATAAATAAAAATTGAAGTGCTGTTATTAGGAAGAACAATATAGTTAAAATATAAGAGAATAAGATGAAAAGAAAATACAAAGTTGAGTTAGTTGATAAAAATTTTTATATAGAGTTTTTAGATATATTCAACAAAACTAATGAACCAAATAAGATTCAAATTTCTATTAAAAGTGTTGCATTTAAAGATAAGATAAATTTTGCTATGCTTTTATTGTTTAGATATTCTGTTTTAAGAAAAATAGCAATTAAAAATAACAGTAATAATATAAATGCAAAAAAAACTAATATGCTTGAGCATTTTATAACTAATGTTTATAGAACTACAGGCTTTATTATTAATCAGCAAAGAAAGTATTTAATAAAGTTTTTTATTAGTAATAGAAAAGATGAAAGAATTATACTAATTAGAATTAATATAAAAGCAAAAGTGTGTTAGTGGTGCCAAAAATTATTGTAAAAAGCATAATTGATAAGTCTAAGTACAATTCAATTAAGATTGAATATATTGTTTAATAAGTAATAAATTAGTGATAATTTGATTAAACAGTTTAATATTAGAAAAGTAAACAAATTGATAATAGCAATTAAGAATACTGTTAATAGCTTGGATAGGTTAAGTAATAAGTATTAAACATCTGTTGTTAGCAGTTTGATTAATTTGTTGTTAAAGTAAGATAGAGTTTTCAAAATAGTAAGCATAATAAAATTGCTTTCAAATAAGTAAACATGTTGTAATCAAATTTGAGTATAGAAAAAATCAACAAAGGTAAATAGTTAAAGATTACAGTTAGATTATTTGTTAATTTGTAAAATATTTTTATTAATGTTAAAATGTTAGAGTATAAAGTAAGTCTTTTAACTAACTTAATAATTTAACTAAGTTTTTTAAAAAACAAATACAATAAAGTATTATAAAGAAAATGTTGATAGTTATAACTGTATTTGTAAAAGATTTTATTAAGAATAATAAGAGATGTAAAATAAAGAATAAAGCATTAAATTTTGTGTCAAGTAGTTTAATACTTTCACTAATTTCTAACTACTAAGAGGATTTGTACTTAAGAAATTGTTAAGATAAGATGTCTGCAAATAAGTTTCAGTTTTTTAAAGTTATAGCTTTATAATTAAAAATATGATAGCTAATACTAGTATGTTTGTAAGAAGACTTATTGTAAGCATTAAAAAAATTTCAAATAAAAAAAAGTATTAGATAGTTGCTAGAAGTAAATCTTTGACTGTTGTTAAAATTATATAAGAAAAAAAATTCTATATTAAATTAGTTAGTTCAGATATAATTAATATAACTCTATTAGTATTATTAGACTAGATAAAATGTTTGTTATTAAAGTAGGCCATAATATCATATATTGAAGTAATTAAAGAAGTTAATAAGTTTGTATTTAAAAGAAAAATTACTAGTGCTGTTCTGTGTATTAAAGTTACTAAGTATAATTAAATAAAAATTAAACTAAAAAGCTTGTTATAGGTTGTTAACCTCTAAGTGGCAGGTCTAGAGTTCAAATCCTAGTATTAATAAAAATTTTAAATTTTTTTTGTGTTATAGTTAACTGTCTTCTGCTATTAGTTAGAATCAGATATCTGTTATTCATATTATATCAGCATAACTAAAAGGTCACATAACATTTGTATAATAGTTATATCTTGTACAAAAAAAACACAAACTGATACTAAATAGTATAAACCTATAATAAGTCCCTGTGGCTATATAAATTATAAGAATCAGAAAGGCAGAAGCTTATTTGAAAGATCTGAGTAGAGAGGTAGTCTGAACTTTTAACAGTATTACTATAAAGACTAAATCTATGAAATGAAGTTAGAACTTGTAAAGCTAAATAAAAACAAGTCAGTTTTTGAAAAGAGACTATTGTAACCAGCCAGACTGCCAGAAACTGTCTAGATAAAAAGATTATATACTAAAAAATTATATAAATTAGAAGTATAATTATATTTACTTTTTTGAGCTATCTGAATTAAAAAGCTAATGGAACTTAAATTGAATACCAAAGTAGTAAAAATATATTGTAAAATAAGTACCAAAATTAAAGTAAACTTTACAAGAGCATAATGGTTTAATAATATATTCTAATTGCAAATGTTGATTTTAGCTATAGTAATATTAGGTCAGTTGTAAGAATAAGATATAGAAGATTCTAAAATATTTAGTACAAAGTTAAAGATTCTCTATATGAGTAAACTGCTTTAAAGACTTAGTAGTTATAACATATTTTTATTGATATCAATTAGGGTCATTAGTAAGCAGAGATAGATAAATGAATACAGGAACTAGAGTGTTTAAATAAAGAACCTACAAGCAGGTTTCAGATATGACAGCTAGTATAAAACCTTTAGGCAAACTACTTAAATTAGACAATAACTAAAGTTATATGAATAACTATTTGTATACTCTTTTTATAATTGCTTCTTGTAGTTGTAATGCAACTATTAGTCAAATATACTACTAATAAAATCCTGAGTCACAAATACAGTCAGACCTCTTTAAATGTATACTTTGGAGACTAACTACAAACATGCATTTAAAGAAAGTATACACTTAAAGGATTATAAATTTATGTTATACAAACTTTATGATCATTCAATCAAAATTAACTTTTAATTTAATATTAATACCTGTCTAACTACTCCAGAATGCCAACAAAATTACTATATAACTAAATAAAATTTTTTGATTTAGTGTAATGTCACATAATTAAAACAAATAACTATTTAGAAAAAATTATCTTTATCTCAATTTGACTAAGAAACAATTCTTTATATATTAATAAAAAAATTTCTTGAGTAATTTTATTATATTATATTTAATATCTAAACTTAGTTTAAACATTAACTTTAATATAAATAAACTTAATTTTATTAACTATTATATGTCTGATAAATTTTGTTGATGATGCTAAAAAGATAATAAATATACAGTGATCTTAACAATTAATAATCACAATTGGCTAGATTAAAGTTAATACTTGAATTCAAATTTATTTGTCAAATTGGATTTATTGTTAATCTTGAATTTAATTATAAAATAATATGTCTGTATATTTAAATTTGAATCTTACAATTAAATTTATATTTAATAATAAAATTCAGATTTAAGAATAAAGTACATGTAAATTATTTATTATATAATTTTAATTGTAAATTTTTTTATTTTAATATTTAAAAATATTTTTACTAACTTAACTGTTTTTAAACTTTTAAGCAACAGACTTTTATGATTCTAAAAATAATAGAATTATTAAATTCAGATTAAAATTTATTAAGATAGATTTATTTAAAGGTTTGGTATTATAAATCTATTATAAAAATTATATGATAATTATATGATAATCAACCAATCAGAATGTTATTACCAAGAATTTGAATTTATTACTAAAACTATTATAATATATACAAGTATAGTTTTTTTTCAAAATAATATATATTATAATTTTTTATTATAATAAATAACCTTTTTAATATATATATTTTAACAATTTAATAAAATTTTGATATGTTTTTAAAAAATTTTATTAGTGTTATATTTTTGCTTACTATATAAATCTAAATTTACTATGCAAATTATATAACAAATGATCTATATATACTTTATTTTTAATAATTAAATTTGAATCTAAGTATTAACTCTAAACTAGATACTTAATTATATCAAAAAAAAGAAAGGTCAAAATTGATTAAAATGCCAAATCATTAATTCTAAACTTCTAATATATAAATAATTTATGTATCTTGTACAAAAAGTAAATATAGAATGAATCATGCATCTTTGTTATATAATTTATTTAATATTTCAGTTTAATTATCAAAAAATTTAAATTTAAAAATAAAAAAAATTTTAATAATTTGCAAAATTTTAAAAAAAAATTATATATATATATTTTTTTTAACTAATCAGTTAGCTTGTAATATTATTGCAATATTGCTAAATAGTTTATAATTACAATTACTATCAATTTGTTAAATATTATCAAGTTGCAAAAAATATAAATATATTTTTTATCTATTGCTTCTATCTATTAAAAAAATTTATTTAATTATATCCTTATGTTCTAAAATATTTATTTGTATAAGTTTGTTAAACAAAACTTAACATTATCTTTCTAATAAATTTCTCAAAAAAATTAATTGATTTTAATTGTTTACTCAAACTTTTCTGCTAAAGTAAAAACATCTGAATGTTTTCTAAATTATTTAGTGCTAAACTACTACTAACAATTGTAATTTTCATATTATTATCTTCTTCATCCATTAATTCAGCATTTTTTTTATTTGTAACTTCAGTGCTTTTACTATTTTTAAACATATAACCCAGCTTTTTATGATCTGATTCTTCAAAAAGACTTTATAAATAACCTTCTCACTATTAAAATTAAGAAATTTATTAATGCTTATCATATTGGAAAAACAAATCTGATTCAGTGAACTAATAAGATCTTCAAGTTTTGAATAACTAACTTTATAAAGATTATCAAAATAACTTGCACTAGATAGAAGAATTTTTATATATTGTTAGCAATTATGTATAGTTTTAGCAGAAATCTTATTTTATCTTTTTATAATATATGAAATTGCTTGTAAAATATCTAACTTCAAATTCTGAATGAGATTGTCTGTTTTAACTTGCTTTAATATTTACCTAATATTTAAAAAAATTTTATTTTTTTTTTTAAGATGAGGCCTTGCTTATATTTTTATTAATAATTTAAAATAGTTATATATATATATGTTATAACTAAGGCCAATACTTGCAATTAGGGCTAACCATTAAACTGCTAACTATACAGCTACTACTATTTGTACAAAACAAATAAATTAAAAATTATATACAAAAATAAAAGCTCAGACTAATTTATCTGTGATCTAAACTTACTAGAATAGTCAAAGCTTATTTAAATTTGAATATTTAGTATATAATTTAATGCTATACTATATTTAATTTATAGAATAGACCAAATGTTAATTTTGTAAATTGCTTGGCCAATAGAAGAGCATATGTTAGAATAAGTATGTAATTGATCTGAAAGTTCACAAAGGCATGAGTAAGTATAGTTTCTATAAAAATATGTATGCCTAGTTACTAAGTTAGATGATGTTAAAAGTTTGTTGATTAATTGAAATTGAGGTTTATTTTGTTGTTTTTTTTAATTAAAGAAGTGAATGCAATATGTTTTCCATAATTGTTTATAAGATTGTTTATCAATATTAAGAAGAATATTAATAATAACTTGAGAAGCAGTTTTATATAATATGTCAGAATTTTGAACTATTAATATAAATAACTTTGGAATAAGTCTTTTGAGAGTAAAGTTAAAATAAAATGTATTAGATAAGATATATAGAGAATTAAGAGCTAAGTAGTAAAAAATTTTAGGAATTAGATTATTTTTTTTGATAGGTATCAAGATCAGATAATTTGCTAAAGACAATTTGGTTAGTAGAGATTTGAATAATTTAGTTAAGCAGAGTATATTAGCATAAATATACTAGTAAGAATAGAAGTTAGCTAGGTTACAATAAAAACAGTTAATATTTGGATATTGGTTTAGATAAATAATATAGAATAATTGATATATTGGTAACTTATTAAGAAGAATTTTGATTTTAAAAGATTTTAGTTGATTGAGTTTAAAATTAGTAATATTGTGTGAAAGTTTTTAATTGTAATTAAAATAAAGCCAAGTAGATCTTCAGTCAATATTCTGATTAAAATATGACTACTCATTGTTACATTTTTGTGATGCTCATATAGCTAATATGTAGGCTTTACATATTTGCTTAATGAAGTATCTTGTAAAAAGTTCTACATAATGTTGCTTTTATTAAAGAATATAATAAGAATTATAAATATTTGTATAATTAAAAAAGAGAAGTAGTGATAATGAATATTGTTTGACAAGAGAGTCTGCTTTTTTATCAAGATTATTATCTGAGTAAGTCTGCACTTTGTGAAAGATAATTAGTAGTTTGTGTAATTTGATAATATTTGAAAGAGTATGCCAAATAGGCTATGAGTTGAATTTGAATAGCTTATTAGAGTGAGTTAGATTAGATTAAAGATTGTTAAATTTGAAAATTACTGATTAAAAATCAGTGAAAATATTAACTATTGAATTGCATAAAGCTGTTAAATTTGTGGTAATAATTAAGAAGAGCTTAGCTTTATATAATAAGGACCAAAATTGTATTTTAGCAAAAAAAGAATTAATAGTTTGATTATTATTATCAACTTGAATCTAACCAATACCCATTGTGCATTGGTCAGTACCAATGTCAATTACAGAGCCATCAATATAAAAAGATAATTGTTGTAAGTAAGGTTAAGATAAGAGATAGATATAAGTTTATTAGTAGCTTTACTTGAAATAAAGATTTTAGAAGCAATTGAATTAGAAATATGAATAGTAGCTAGAAGAGAAATATAAGTTGGATGCTTGAATGCAGTAGAGCAAATAAGGTTCAAGTAATTTGCATTAAGGTTGAGTTGGTGTTTAGAATTAGTTCTGCCAAGGAATTGTATTGAAATAATAACAGAAACTTCAACAATATGAGTTTGGTTAATTTTGTAAGAATTAAAATAACATCCTGTATATCATTTGTATTTAGCAGGCAGTAGAGAATAGAATTTTGAGTAATTTAAGTCTATATTGGAAGTTCAGTGAGTAATGAAGTAATAATTAGATGAAGGAAAGTATTTTTGTATTTTTTTAATAATAATTCTATTATTGTAATATAAAAGCAATCAAAGTTTAGATTTTGTAAGTTTTTTAGATGTATTAATAGTATAATAAGTATAAGAGTTATGACCAAGTGATTGGTAGTGTAGTAATATATTTTAGTAATAAGAATGTGTTAGAATTATAACTTTTAAATAGAAAAACTAAAATGGTTTTCTTCCTCTAGGCAAGTATAAAAGTCTAGATAAAAGATGTTTCTAGTCTAATAAGGTACTGTTATCAACTATACAAAGTTGTTCAAGATATATAATATTTAATTGTCTAAGTTGCTTTTTGAAGGTTGGATATTTAGAGTGATAAGATAAAATTGATTCTAGTAACTAGCCTTTATTACTAATTATATAAAGTTATATTATATTAGAATTGGCTAAGAATACTAAGTCAAAATGGGTAAAAAGTTAAATAATTTTAAAATTTAATAAGTATCTGTTAGAGCTATTAATAATTGATTTAGAATGATATAAAATATTAATAGGAAACTATAAGTTATTTTGTAGTTGTTGAAGTCTAATTTGAGTTGTAATATCAAGAAGGTCAAAGTTGTTAATTCATTAAAAATAATTGAAGATGTGATGCTGAAGTTGAATATCCTATATTTTATAAATATAATATAAATATAGGTTAAGCATTATGCTATTTGGTATAGATTTAGAGAGATAAGACTTGTGTTTTGCTACAGTAAGGTATTTGGATAAGATTTGGTTATATGTAGTATGAGGTAGAATAGTATTATATAATCTATATTTTAAAATTGGAATGATTACTGTATTAATAATATAGATAATTTGTTTGTCAGTAATTTTCTTTGTGCTAACAATATTAATAAGATTATAAGCCTCTTTTTTTATTAGTTTAATAGCTTGGAATTGTTTGTTCTTAAGTGTAAGCCAACATTCAAGAAACTCGAAATATTGATTTTTAGAAATAGAGTAAATTAGAGATCCAGAAAATTATATAGAAATAATAAAGGAGTTTGTAACTAGAATAGACTTTGTTAGATTAATCTGAATATTGACTATTTGATAAAAAGCTATAACAGTTTTAGTTATTAGATTAAGCTCTTCTTTAGATTGTATGATCTAGAGAGTATCATTCATATAGACTAGAACTAATACAGATGTTTTTAAAGTTTGGGTTTGAGAAGAATGTAAGTTAGTTTTTTAAGATGCAGATAAAGAGTAATCTAAAAATTTTATAAATTAAAAAATCATAATAGATTCTCCAAAATAATAAAGTTATAGTTTCTTCTTGATTTATACTATTTTAACTGATTAAAAATTAGTAAGACCAAAATTAGATATAACCTGATTTTGGCAGTCAGTAAGAAGGTTAGTAAGTATATTAATAAAAGTTTAAAGCATTGATATCCATTTAAAAGACTTTGTAAAAATTTTTAAATTAACAGAATTATATATTTTGCTTATGTTCTAAGATAGAAGCCATAATTGTTTATTGTTGAAACTAGCATCTTTGATAATATTGCTAAGTATATATATAGAAATAGAGGTGCTGTTATCAGATAAAGCAATATAATTGTAAGAAGATAGAATAGGATATTGTGTGAGTATTGAATTAAGACAGTTAGTAAAAAGTTTAGTATATAAATTTTTAATATATTTAACAAGCCTAATGGGTTTTGTATTAGAAAGGTTTTCATCAAAAATAGGTTTTTTGAATATTGAAAAGATATAATCTTCTTTCTATTGCTTAGATATATGAGAAATTTAAATGCATCAATTAAAAAAAGCAACTATTGCTTGAAGAAAAATAAAACCAGCCTGTTTAAGCATTTTATAGTTAATTTCAAATGGCCCACATGCTTTGTTATTAAAAAGTTAATTAAGAGTTTTAATAATTTTATCTAATAAAAATTCAGCCAAGGCTAAATTATAGTAGTCAGAATTAGTGTTAACTTTTGGTTCATATTTCTCTAAACAGTTAGTGTTAAATTCATGATCATTAATAGGTCTGTAAGTGGTTCAGTTGTCAAAATAATGTTGAATATGTTCTTTAATTAGTTTAGGATCTGTAATAGTATTATTTGATATTATTATATTGTTAAATTTTACTGGATCCTTGTGATAGTTAAGTATACTGTTAATCATAAGTTTGTAATTAGTTTAAAGTTTAGAGCATTTAAGATTAATATGATAATTTATTTGTTCTCTGATTTGTTTAATATTTTCTATGTTTTAGACATAATAAAGAGCTAACTATTTAGTATTAGTATTAGTAATCCAGCTTGGTATAGGCTTATAAGAGTTGGATATAGGAGTTATATTAAAATGATGTGTTAAGTTAAGATAGTGTATAGTAGAATTAAAATGTATAGGTATAGGTAATGAGTTAGTTAAAAAGACTATAACTTTTTTAATAATGTTATTAAGTTTTTTAAAATTTAGATGAAGTAAAATAGCTTTAGCTAAAAATAAGCATTGAAAATTGCAAATTGTTGTTTTTTTGTTAAAGATGCATTTAGTAGCAGCATTAATAATACTAGTTTGAATTTTATGCCAGATAATTTTGAGAGATTTAAAAGTTTGAATAAAAAAAGAAGTTTTATTTGTACTAAGATTAAAAGAAACTTAGTCAGCAAATATTTCTCA